GGTGAATTCCTTGGGTATTCTCTACGGTGAGGACAGAATTCAAAGGATTGTTTCACCTGCATTGCCAGGTATTTTATAATTTAGTGTCTACATGATTGTCAGTGTGGGAGGTCCTTGACTGCTTGTGTTAAATAATAAGTGTCTTATTAGGGCTAAGTTTTTCTTCCAGTTTCATCTTTCACGTGACCCATCAGTATCTCTCTAAAATGAATATGAACCTCCTTCTAACTCCAAGGACGGGTTAGTAAGAATCTCAGTTGTGCCCAAGCATGGCCAAGGAATCAGCAATTCCCAGGGGGAGATTTACTGGATATGTCTGCTGACCCTGGGTTTGAACTCATGCTTACTAACATTACTTGCCAGGTTTTGATCTCATATATTTTGGAAATGATGGAATGGTAATCCACCAGTGGATTTCAGTGTCATGGCCAAGCTTGCTTTCCAGAGGGGCAGCTTCCAGTATTTACTTTAAGAATAGTCAATGCAGAACTGAGATTTAGCCCATATAAATGGAGAAATGGAAACCAAGAATTTCTTCCTCCTTTTGGTGCCTGTTTGCTGGGCTCTTTTCCCCTTAGCTGGAAGGATGGTACTCAACACAACATGCTATTTGGTTTGGTTGAAATTTTTAATTTTTTATATATATATACATATATATATATTTCACATATCATAAAATTTACCTTTTTAAATTGTAAAATTCAGTGAGTTTTTTTTTTTTTAATGTATTCACAAAGTTGTGTAACCATCACCACTATATAATTCCAGAACGGTGTAGTTAAGTTTTGACTTGAATCTTGGATGAAATATCAACCAAAGGTCAACTCTGAAACTCAGAAAACTTGTTCTAAGACTTTGTTCTTTTTTGCAAGAGAAGCTGCAGTTTTTATTCAAGTGTCATTTTTTTAAAAATGTAATGGAAAAAAATAGGACATTGCATTTGTAGTAGGCTTGTTGCTTGATTTCTTTTGTCTGCTACTGATAATTTATAAAGTTTTGGTCTTCCAGTTGGAATGTACTACCATGGCTATGTTATAATAAAGAATATTCAGAACAAAAACAGTAAGACTGTTTCGCTTTCTTCTCTTTGTCAAGCCATGCTTCATTAGGGCAGGGCTTGGGCCTGTTTTGCTCTCCATCACTAGCACAGGGCTTGCCGTACAATAGGGCTCAGCAAAGATTTACTGAATAAATGGACTGTGTTAGATGCCCAGGGAAGGTCATTTTTGGCATGTATCACTCCAAGTAGTTCATAGTGACCTTTGTACTTTGGCTTTGTGGATGGTCATGGCATGCATTCATTCATATCCCTGAGATACACAGCTGCTTCTAGAAAGTGAGAGCTTGACCTCTTCCCATGTAGTTCTAGGACTGACAAGGACCCCATCACCCCCAGCTCCCAGGAACTCTCATCCAACTGTAGTTGGATTTGTAAAGCCTTCTTGAGTTGTTATGGGGAAGCACAGTGTGGGCGGTGTGACTGTGCATGTCTTTGAGTGTACACGTGTGTGTGTGTGCATACTTGCCTAAGCACACAGTGGAACTGTGAGGAATTCCTTCATGTTTTTATAAATCGCCCCTTTCTTCTTTCTGCCCTTGTAGTTTGTGGGTAGGTCAGGGTGCAGAGGGGCCTCCAGTCCGGGCACATGGCCCAGGCGTGCTGGCATTCAGTGGCCTATTGTTTCCTGCCTCTTATGTGCGTGGACAGAGGTCTGGGGCTGGCACAGCTGCCTTCTTGGAGACCATTGTTTGTCTTTCAGCAGCAGCAAAAACCTGAAGCAGCACATTTTACCTTGGACAGAGCAGCCATTCTCTGTTAGGGCTACAGGCCTGGAGAGGGGGGTGGTTGTAGTGTCCCTTAAATGTCTGGGTGGATGCTCTGAGGATGGACGCCAGGGAGGCTTCTCCCTCCTGGCAGGTTGCAGCCGGGAGTGGGGGGAGGGGGCGGGGAGATACTCCGTGGTGCCAAATCATAAATCAACTCCAGTAGCAGGTAGTATCAATTAGCAGAGGCTCACTCTTCTTTTCTTGGATCAGGGGTGGGGATATCGCTTTCTCACATCTCTGCCCTCTGGACTTACTGGCAGACCTCAGGGTGTGCTCATAGGACAAGAAAAGCATTTCCTCCAAAGCTGTCCTGTAGCGTAGATCTGGGAAGCAGGGAAGGGATCCATCCCTCTTGTGGACTGGCCAAAATGTGTGCTAGTTAGCGAGTCGGCGCGCTAGTGCATACCCGACTCTGTGGGCCTGAATCCCCCCATAGCTCAAAGGTGGAGAAGTGAATTTTAGGGGTGGGAGCTATAGAAACTGAGTTATGCAGAAATACTTTCAGAGACTCCAGACTCATGTTCTATTTCTTTGGTCTCCCTGCCCCTCTATCAACCTCTTTGACATGTCAGACAAACTTTAATTTAACTTTAGCCTCACTTGTACCTAATTGTATGATCTTTTTGTAAATGACTTAATGAGTCTAACTTCAGTTTTCTCATCTGTACAATCAGGATAACTGGGGATTTAGGGACTAGTTGTGAAGGTTAAATGAGATAATGTATACAAAGCGTGTTCAAGTGAACACATGTTCCCTTTCCTTCAGGGCCTGGAAGGGTACCTGATGGAACACTTTGGCTTCCACCTCTGGAATGTCCCTTTAGGCGCTTAGAGTCCGTTTGGACTAGAGCACTGACTCACCAACTAGCCCACGTTTCAATTGCGTTGTGCTGCCCACTCATTGAGGCACCTGAGAAAGTCAGGGTAGAATACAATGCCATGCTGGCTGGATGTGCTTGGGGGCTTCTTAAATTAATTCACCTATCTCAGAGGCCTCCTCTGAAGTGCATGTTTCTTGGACAGGACAGTCTTTAAGTGTTCTACCTCTGGAACTTCATGGGTATCAAGGGAATTTGCCTTTTTTTAATGGAGGCTGGGCATCATCCATTTTACCGTGTTCCTTTCTGCTTCCCTGGTTAGTGGGATTATTGAGGCAAAGTCTTAAATGAATTACAGGTCACTCAGAGGGGGCTGACAACCCCATCACCCATCCACATCCTCTTCCACTTCTGTTATGGGTACCTTTTCGCCCCAAAAGCCCTAATTCTTATTTGAGTAGACCAGTTGTAAGTAATATCAATGAATGTCCTCTCCGCCCACAGTCTGCCCACCCAGTGGCTACCACTGCCAGCTACGACCTCTATGTGTCAATAGATGGAAGAGGCACAGATGCCTCTAGGAATAGTTGGTAAAGGCTGTTGCCTTTAAGAGGCCCAGAAATCCCTGGCAAGAACCGTATGCCTGACATGCCCTCCGCGGATCTTCCTCCCAACACCCTTGTAATCAGACTCCCAGAAAAACACAGAACAAGAGAGCTTTGATGAGTGATGAGGTAGGCGGCTTTTCTGCACAGCCTTCTGTCTGCTAGAAACAATCCTATGGTGCTCAGTTTCAGTTCAGGTGAGGTTACTGCAGACTTGGTTGGCATTGGTGGTTGGCAAGGGGGAGGCATGGGGACAAAGAGGGTGAGAATGGCACTTATAGGTCAATAAAATCACCCATAAATGATCAGATACTTGTGTTACATCCTGGTGTCTATGAAAACAGAAACAAAAAATAAAGATGGGGATAGATTACAGACCCCTACCTACTTTGGGGAAAGCCAAGTGCACCATTCACCCATCCCTCATTGCTTCATAAAAGGAGTGCTTGGCATATTTTTCAGCATTATAGCCCTGAACCTGGATTTGCCTCTGATTTATCCACAACTCAGGTGAAAACTGTAGCTCTCCCTGCCCCATGCATTAAACAGCACAGAGAGAAAGCATTGTTACAGCTCTGCTATCTGAGAATGAATTTGGAACATGTATAGGAAAGGTATAATAATATAGGTACTCTTTTTTTCCTTGGATTAGAGTCACTGTCATATCCTAATGCATTGAGCTGAGCAGGCTTGGAAGGGAGAGAGATGACAGAAATGGCTCCACTGTGACTCAGGTGGCGAATGGAACGTAACTTCAGCAGGATGTGCACTGCAGGCCTTCCCTGGGCTGACAAGCAGGCTGGCTTTGACAAGCTGCTTCCTATGGGTGCCAGGTCTCCCGTCAGTAACAAATGCAGTATTGCATTTGAGGCAGATCTGATTGTTGCTGGAGCTGCCGTTGCTGTACTTTCACGGAGGGTGTTTGCTAGCCCTGTACGAGGACTCTGGCTAGCAGAAACCTGCCAAGCTGGAACTTAACCAGAAATATTTCTAGCTTTGACAAAGCAGGGGTCCTGAGCATCAGTGGGGATGAAACAACAGAGATATGAGTGATATTTGTTGGTGAAAAAAATCAACTTCTTTAAGGCTGATTCACCTTATATGATATTGGAAACTATGGAATCTTCTTGACAGTGGATGTTTTGCTTGCCTAGAGGTCCTGGTACTTGTTTCATTCTTGATTGCCACTCTTTGACCTTGGGCAGGGTCCTTTCTATGTCCTTTAAAATATCCTGACCCTGACCCTAATTCATAAAGATGCGGAAAAGCATTTTGAAATGATGGGAAAAAGTATAAAAAGTAGGAACTTGGGCTCTAAAGTCAGTCTGCCTGGGTTTGTTATGGTGTGACTTCTTTAAGAATCAGTTTTATCATCTTAAAATGGGGAGGAAAATAATACCTACCCAACAGGATGGTTGGAAGGAAACTCATTACGCTCGTTGCTAGAAGAGAGCCCAAATTCTGGCACTGTGCCAGAAATACAGTAAATTGTTCAATAAATAGTAGTTCTAAATATTATTATATCTACTAAGCACTTTCTCTTAAATGATTCAGCAGATTCCTGGTTCCAGTGTTTTCTTCGTCGACTGAAAAAAATTGGTGGAGTTTAGGCCAGTTTATGCTTATTGTTATCATCATCATCATCAATAAGGCTTTAAGTTCCCCAGAGGACAAGGATCAAGTGGAAGGAAGGGGTAAACGTTGGCATGTATGGCTGTCTGCATGACTCTCTTGCCTTTTTTTGTTGCAGAGATCCGCGCTCAGCTCACAGAGCAGATGAAATGCCTGGACCAGCAGTGTGAGCTCCGGGTGCAGCTGTTGCAGGACCTCCAGGACTTCTTCCGAAAGAAGGCTGAGATTGAGATGGACTACTCCCGCAACTTGGAAAAGCTGGCAGAGCGCTTCCTGGCCAAGACGCGCAGCACCAAGGACCAGCAATTCAAGTAGGGACTCCTTGGCTGTTACTTTTAGAGACCTCAGGGATGGGGTCCGGGATGGAGGGAGGCAGGGTGTGCCACCTAGATCCAATTGGATTCATGAAGCAGGGAACAGAGTAAAGGGGCCAGTTGTATAAAATAGAGCTGGAATTCAAACCAAGGCAGTCTGGTTCTAGAGTCTGTATTCTTAACCATTTCACCAACTAGAAGAAATGAATGATGTTGTAGCTATACTATATTGCTGCCCAGACAGTTGCTAAAGTCTCTTTCTTCTGCATTTACAGTATTTTATACAACTGGCCCCTTTACTCTGTTCTCGCTGCCATTATCCTAGTGTAAATCATCATCTTTGCCTGAACAGTTGCAATACTTACTGTATCATCTGTATCAGAGGTTCTCAACCCCAAATACCCATTAGAATTCCCTGGAGAATGTTGTAAAATGCTGAAATCTGGGCCCCACTCCAAACCAATTAAATCAGAATCTCTGGGAGTAGGGTCTGAGTAACGATATGGTGTAAAAGCTTCCCAGATGATTTTAATGGATGCCCAGCTTTGAGGACCACAGTCTATAGCTTCTCCCCATTCCAGTCTGCCTGATCCGCTATTGTCAGATTTAGCCTTCCTGGAACACACTGAAGATAGGCAGTATCTCTGTGCAGTGGCTCTCCACTGCCTATGTATCTATGTTCTTGACACCCAAGGTGTATTCTCCCATTATCACCATCACCTAGGATGTTAAAAATACAGAATCTCAGGTCCCACCCCTAGATCTACTGTGACAAGATCCCCACAAAGGTGGACACTCCTTGGCTTGGTCCTCAAGCCCCTCTACATCTGACCTAAGTAGGTTTCCAACCTTATTTCCTGTTTCCAGTTCACTATACTTTAGCCAAACATAACGTTGACTCAAATGGAACTTTGTTCGTCCTGTTATTTGAGCTTATATGCCCACTCTTCACATCTCTGCATGTCTAAGCTACCCCATGCTTTAAGACCCATCTCAGAAGCAACATGCTCCAAGAAACTTTCCTGATTCTCCCAGAAGAATGAATGTTTTCCCTCTTCTGAATTCGTACAGCATTTTATTTGTTCTTTTATTAGGACGTTCAGCACTGTCTGCCTTATATTATCTTCTCTTAGTGGATTGGATAGATTTTTCTAATTCCTCTTTCAGTCTCCCATGGTGCCTAGCATAACATGAGGTATATAACAGGTGCTCACTAATTATTATTTGGATGAGTAAATGAATGAAGAAATTTAAGAATTAATGCCAAGTATATCTTTCCCTATTTTCTATTTTTGTTTATCACCCTAATAATTTAGGAAACAAACACTCTTTATAGACCAGCTCTGGGCAATGATACGGAAGCTAAGATTGAGGAGAATATGTGAGACACTCAGTTTAGCGAGAATGAGAATTTCTGCAAGATGTTTTTATCCTCAGAATCCCTTATCTTTCCCAAGTCCTGTTCTCTTTATGATAAGCACTTCTGAGAGAATAAAATGTTATTTTGGTATACGATAAAATGATTCAAAGTTGGATTTATTCTGTTAATAAGCTCCTCCTAAGTTTAAAACATCATTTTTACTAGTATTCTCAGCTTAAGGACATATTTACTACAAATTAAGGTACAGACATGCCACTCTTTAAATTATCTGAATTGCTCTGATTAAGATCACTTACAAGGAATAGGGTGTTTTCTCCAAGAATGGAAGAATTGATTTTCCTGAGGCTGGTACCTGGCCTCATTTTTTCCCAAACAACCAGTGAGGGTTTATTGAGAGCCACCTGTGTGCTTCATATTGTACAGGTATTGGAAGATATAAGAGAAGTTCATTGTGTGTATCCAGAGGGGGCCATATACTTTTGTTGAGAAAAGATGTTTAATACAGGGAGTAATTAAAGGATAAGACAATAATGATGTCATTGAGATCATTGGTTTAGTGTGGAATATAGATACGAGGTTAGAATCATCAGAGATAGATAAAGGATCTAGAAGAGTCAGGAGAATTTTCTAGAAGCAAATGAGATTTTAGGCTATGCTTTAAAGGTTTATGTGGTAGAGGACTTCTGGCGAAGATGGAGGTGTAGGTAGATACCCTTTGCTTCCTCGCACAACCAAAAGGAGGACAAGAACAAATTTAAAAACAAAAAATAACCAGAACTGTGAGACAAGTTAAATTGTGTGGGACTCCAACAACCAAGGAGTTAAAGAAGAAACATTCATCCAGACTGGTAGGAGGGGCGGAGAGGACACGCGACAAGGCGGCGGCTGGAGGACTGCGTGGGTGAGATGGCAGCTGGCGGTCCCACATTTGCGTGTGGATAAAACAGAAGGAACAGCTGGGGAGCGAGACAGACCTAGCAATCCAGGGTTCCAGTGCGGGAAAAGAAAGCCTCAAAACCTTTAACTGTAAAAACCTGTGGGAGATGTGGCAGCGGGAGAAACTCCCAGCATCACAGGAGAGTCCGTTGGAGAGACCCACAGGGTCCTGAAACATACACAAACCCACACATCCAGGAATCAGCACCCGAAGCGCCCAATTCGATTGTGGGTAGTAGCGGAAGTGACTGAAAGCTGACTGAAAGCTGAGAAAGCAGCCTTGTTCCCTCTCAGACCCCTCCCCACAGAGAGTGTCACTACACAGCGACCTGGCGTTGCCCCACCCTGGTGAATACCTAAGGCTCTGCTCCTTCCGATGTAATAGGCGTGCTGAGACAACGAAATATGGCCCAAATGAAAGAATTGATCAAAGCTCCAAAAATAGAACTAAGCCATGAAGAGAGAGCCAACCTATCAGATGCACAGTTCAAAACATTGGTAATCAGGATGCTCACAGAAATGGCTGAGTATGATCGCAAAATGGAGGGAAAAGTGAAGGCTATATAAAGTGAAATAAAAATGTGCAGGGAACCAACAGTAAAGGGAAAGAAACTGGGACTCAAATCAACAATTTGGAGCAGAAGGAAGAGATAAACATTCAACCAGAACAGAATGAAGAAACAAGAATTCAAAAAAAATGAGGAGAGGCTTGGGAACTTCAGGGACAACTTTAAATGAGCCAGTGTCCAAATCATAGGGGTGCAAGGAGAAGAGGAAGAGCAAGAAATTGAAAACTGACCAAAAAAAAAAATGAAGGAGAACTTCCTTAATCTTCCAAAAGAAATAGACTTCTAGGAAGTCCAGGAAACTCAGAGAGTCCAAAAAAAGCTGGACCCAAGAAAGCACACACCAAGGCACATCATAATTATATTACCCATAATTATATTACCTAAAGGAGTGCCCATAAGACTATCAGGTGATTTCTCACAAGAAATCTTGCGGTCAAGAAGGGACTGGAAAGAAGTATTCAAAGTCATGAAAGGCAAGGACCTATATCCAAGATTACTCTATCCAACAAAGCTATCATTTAGGGTGGAAGGGCAGATAAAGTGCTTCCCAGATACGGTCAAGTTAAAGGAGTTCATCATCACCAAGTCCTTATTATATGAAATGTTAAAGGGACTTGTCTAAGAAAAATAAGAAGATCAAAAACTATGAACAGTAAAATTACAAAAACTCACAGCTATCAACAATTGAACCTAAAAAAAACAAACTAAGCAAACAAGTAGAACAGGAACAGAATCACAGAAATAGAGATCAGAGGGGAGAGGGAGAGGGGGCAAATGGGGGAAAAGGTACAGGGAAAAGGAAGCATAAATAGTAGGTATAAAATCGACAGGGGGAGCTTAAGAATGGTTTAGGGAATGGAGAAGCCTAAGAACTTACATGTACAGTCCATGGACATGAACTAAGGGGGACGGTGAATGCTGGTGGGAGGGGGGGTGGAGGGGAATAAAGGGGAGAAAAAATGGGATAGCTGTAATAGCATAATCAATAAATATATCTTTTCAAAAAAAGATTTGTGCGGTAAAAAACAGTATTACAGGTGAGAAGAAGTAGGGGTAAAGGTATAGGGACTAGTGAGATATCTAGCTTCTTAAAAAGGAAAATTCTTATACATTCATTCAACAAATATCCATAACACATTCCTTGAACTCCTTTACGCCAGAGGCTGTGCCTTGGGACACAGCAGTGAATAAGCATGCTGTCTTCCACCTGGCACTTAACAGGAGAATGAGGAAGCAGCCACTTAACAAATCACACAATTACATGAGTTGAGGTAAGTGTTATGAAACTAAAGTACAAGATACTACAAGAACTTGTAAAAGGGAGACTTCTCCACTCCTTTTTCTGTCACTTTATGGCTAGTTTACTTTAATAGCTTCCTGCCTGATCTTATCCTGAGTAATAATCTACTTATTCAACAAACCCCTTATAAATTCCTACTGGATACTGTGCTCTGTACTCATTCTTATGGAGACTAAGATAAGCTCTAGAATCTCGGTTTACAGAGAAGAGAGACATGTAGACAACATAATGTGCAAAGGCCTTTAATAGAGGCATGAGCAAAATATTGTGAGAACACAGGTATTTTTCAAAAACAGTGGAAGATAAAGTTAGATCAGAGACACCAAATACAGACTCTTTGATGGACGAGCAGAGGAGTTCAGATGTGATATGGCAGTATGGTAGTAAGCCCTCTGGGTTCTTGTGTGGGGATAGAGACGTGAGGAGAGATGTAGAAGAATGAATTTTTTATGCCAAAATGGAGGTTTGGGGGCAGGGAATTCATGCACAATGTGGTAGCAGAAAAGAACAGAGGGGAAGGAATAAATTCAAAAAGTATTCTAAAAACTTAACAGAACTAGGTAACTGATTGGGTAAAGGACTAATGGTCAGGGGTGACCCACTGTCTCTAAACTGGCAACCTAGAAGAATTATGGAATCTATGATAAAAGTGGGGATGTTAAGGAAAGATCTCTTTGTGAATGGTGAGCCAACTTTGGACATGCTTGTTTTGGGGCAATGGGAGGCCTTCAGGCATCCAGAGGGAAGGTTGTACTTCTTGAGATAAGAAGTTATGACTGGGAGTAGATAGTATAAGCTTCAGTGTAAAACT